GGGTCACAGAGGTGGGGCTGTAAAATGCTGCTGGCACACAGCTGTGCTTTCTTTTACACATTCAAGGCTCAGCTGCAATGGAGGCTGCCAGATCGTGGCCTGCCCTTTGCCCACACTCAGCCCTGCCCTGTAGTTGTGGCAACACCGCAAGGCTGCCTGGCCAGTTGGTGCTGACTCGTGTTGCCTTGGACCTCTAGCTGTGTGCCACCTGTGACCTCACAAAACATGGGAAAGCAACTTTCTCACTTCACTTGGTGAGGCAGGGAAACTGAGTGATTTTAATGGGTTTGGGGAGGAGACCTGGTTTTTGCTCGTTCTTGAGAAAATTTGGGGTTCCTCCCCAGGCCCCTGTGATTACCTATTAGCCAGGACAGCCACTCAGATGGACAGCTTTCTCTCTGGATCTGAGGACACTGTAGGACTCTGGGAGACTGCATGGAGGGCGGAGATGGCATGTGGGGTGAACTTGGGTTGGAGGAGGCATTGGCTTTGTGTGGGTCTGGGGTTCTCAGAGTGAGCCAGTGTCTCGCAGCCCACCATGGTGCAGGGACATGATGGGTGTTTACCGTGACATCTTGGTTGTGATTTAGGCTACTGCAGCTGAACCCCTCAAAACCCACTGGAGACTTTTGTGGAGTGTGTGGAAATGACTCATGAAGATCAGCTTCTGGGAAGGGCATCAGGAGAGGTCTGGTTGTTCATTTTATCATAATAACAACTTTAGTTTTCATATAAATGTGGTACAGAAATTTATTAAAAATTCAGATAAGAGCCAAGATGGTGGCCATCCCTGTAATCCCAGTGGCTCGGAAGGCTGAGGCAGGAGGATCACGATTCAAAGCCAGCCTCAGCAATTTAGTGAAGCCCTAAGCAACTTAGTGAGACCCTGTCTCAAAATAAAAAATAAAAGGACTGGGGGTGTGCTCAGTGGTTAAGTGTCCCTGGGTTCAATCTCTGGTACCAAAGGGAGGGAATTTTTTTTCTAGATAATACAGATCAGTACAGAGAAGAACATGATTTAAAAATCCAGCAATGGTCTTCTACAAAGAATAAGTTTTTAACCTCTGGCCTTAGTTCTCCCCAGAAACCTGGCTACTGGATACTGCCTTCCAAAGAAGCCCACAGTCTTAAATAAAAGCGTGGTTTTCATTTTTCCTTGCAGTAACGAGATCGTTGCTGCCTCACCCCAAGCAAGCCTGTATCCCAAGTGACACTGTCTTTGCCCCAGGATCTGATTTGGCTCATGGACTCATTTTTGCTCCTTTAATTATCACTGTTGGTGGTGGTGCTGGGGTCTAACCAGGGCCAGGTCGTTCTGTTTCAGGCCATGTTGCTTGCCCCTGCTGGGAGGCATGAGCTTCGCCTGAGGCTCGCCGTATGTGTTCTGGTGTCTCCCTCCCACCCTTCAGACTCACGGTTCTTGCATAGTCTGGTGCCATCCGCTCACCTCTCACCCCTGTGATTCCAGTCTCCTTGGCTGGGTTTTTCTAGAAATCCTTGAGTTCATTTTAATACTGTTGGCTCAGAATCTCAGACACTGCAGGTTTACAGATTTGCGTAACTCAAGAAAGAGAAAGCTGCCTTGGGGTGCGTAATTAAAGTTTTTATTCTCTGGGTTTGAAGATGTGTGTTTTCTCAAATACTGAAGTTTGGATATGGTTACTGGCAGTTCATTGAAACTAAGAAAACTAATTCTAAGGTTTTGAAGTCTTTAATCTGTGCTAATGAAGAAGGTAGAATGACAGCCAGATGCAGTGGTGTATGCCTGTCATCCCAGCCACTCAGGAGGCTAAGCAGGATGATCACAAGTTCAAGGCCAGCCTGGGCAGTGTAAGTGAGACTCTGTCTCAGTGAAAAACAGGAAGGGCTGGGGGTGTAGCTCAGTGCAGAGTGCCCTGGGTCCTGTCCCCAAGACTGCAAAATGCAGCACAAGAGCCATAGCCACCAGTGCACCCAGGAGCAGTGAGGAGTCAGGCAGGCCCTGGTCCTCCCCAGATGCTTCCTGACTGCCCTGCCAGCAAGGAGGGAGGGAGGTGCTGTTGGGAAAATGGCACCTTTCGAGATGTCCGTAATTCTTGGTAATGCTCTCTCACGACCTCCTTTTATAGTGATCTTCATCCCAATTCCAGAGGGCTGTTTCTTTCTCCAAATGTCACCCCTTTGACCCAGTCAGTGAACCAAGGAGTTAGGGCAGCTATGCAGGCCTGCCACGTGAGGAGGAGCTTTGCCCAGGCCATTGCAGCTGAGGAGACATGCAGTTCAGAAAGGAGTGGGACATCTGTGGCTATATCAGGACTTCGCCTGGGCTCGAGGGGATGCCACCCAGCAGTATGGATGGCGTCTGGCAGGAGACACTCAGGAGGTTCCTCCAAGACCTTGGATGATCTGCCAAGGATGAGGAAGTTGCAGAAATCAGCAGGACTGGGGCTGGGATGTAGCTCAGTGGCAGAGCACTTGTCTATTGTGCAAGGCCAATAATCCCCAAGACTACCACCAAAACCAAAACCTCAGCAAAGCTGTCCTCGAGGTGGCAGCCAGCTTAACCTGGAGTTGTGCGGACTGTACCGAGGAGCTTCTAGAGCCAGCTCCTGAGCAAGCAGCCAGCAAGGGGACACAGCTGAGGAGGAGGCAAGAGACAGGGAACTGCAAGGAGCAAGAAGAACCCAAGAAAGGTTCCAGAGAACGGCTCAGTAGCAGCTCCTGCAGACCTCTGTGAGCCGAGAACTGAGAACACGAACCCCACACTAAGAGGTTCTCATTAGCAGAGAGGAATGCCCGCACACACCACCTGCCTGCAGTCTGATGAGCAGCAGACGCACTGGCAGGGCCAGGAGGCATCTGGAGGAGGCTCTGCCATCACAGATGGGGCTGTGCCTACACCACTGCCCTGAAGACCTCCAGTGGGACACATGTGGAGGTGGGCAGGGCATGCCTGGTCTTGACCCTTAATGGCTTGGCCATGTGTGCATTCATGCCTTCGAACTTTTTTTTTGGTGCTGGGGATTAAACCCCGGGGTGCGTAACCACCAAGACACATCCCCAGCCCCTTTTATTTCTTATTTTGAGGCAGGGGCTCACTCAGTTGCTCAGGGGCTCACTAAGTTGCTGTGGCTGGCTTTGAATTTGCCATCCTCCTGCCTCCTCCTTCCTAGTCCCTGGGATTATAGGTGTACACCACCACCCAGTTCACTTCACGTCTTAGGTTTTGGTTTTGGGGTGTGTGTGTATTTAAGTTGTAGTTGGGCCCAGTACCTTTTTTTATTTGTTTGTTTGTTTATTTATTATGTGGTGCTGAGGATCAAACCCAGCATTGCTAGGTGAGCACTCTACTGCTGAGCCCCAGCCCACATCTTAATTTTTAATAAAAGTTAGCTAGCTGTGGTGGTGCACACCTGTGCTCCCAGTGACTGGGGAGACTGAGATAGGAGGATTCCCAAAATAACAAAACAAAACAAAAAAACTTCAGAAAGTAAAATATTGTAAAAAATTAAAAACAGAAAAATGTGTTTATTATTATTACTACTACTACTACTACTACTGCTACTATTATTTGGCAGGGTACCAAGGATTGAACTCAGGGGTGTTCAAACACTGAGCCACATCCCCAGCCCTTTTTTGTATTTTATTTAGAGACAGGGTCTCACTGAGTTGCTTAGTGCCTCACCATCGCCGAGGCTGGCTTTAAACTCTCAATCCTCTTGCCTTAGCCTCCTGAGCTTCTGGGATTACAGGCGTGCGCTGCCGCAAAAAAATGTGTTTATAGACTAGCTCCAGAAAAATGTGCTTATAGAATCAAGATATTAAACAAAAAAATAACTGGGCGCAGTGGCCCATGCATATCTGTAATCCTGGCTACTCAGGAGACTGAGGCAGGAGGATCAAAGTTGTGATCCTGGGGTGCTCTACCCTGAGCCATATCCCCGATTCTTTTTATTTTTTATTTTGAGACAAGGTTTCCCTAAGTTGCTGAGGCTGGACTTAAACTTGCATCCTCCTCTCTCAGCCTTCCAAGTCACCGGGATTACAGGCCTGCACTGCTGCGCCTAGCAAGTTACAGCAGGGTGGGTAGTAGGTGCAATCCCAGCAACTCTAGTGACTGGGTGCAGCAGGAGCATCTGGAGTTCAAGGCCAGCCTGGGCAAGACAGCAAGGTTCCATCTAAATACCTTAAGGTGTACAAAGAAAGGAAGAGAAGGGTACTAAGGCTGATTTATTATTGAAGAAAAAGCCTCTGTGAGCTAGGTACGGTGGCCACACCTGTAATCCTAGAGGCTCGGGAGGTTGAGGCAGGAGGATCTCGTTCAAAGCCAGCCTCAGCAAAAACAAGGCCCTAAGCAACTCAATGAGACCCTGTCTCTAAATAAAATAAAATACAATATAGGACTAGGGGTGTGGCTCAGTGGTTGAGTGCCCCTGAGTTCAATCCCTGGTTCCCCGCCCCCCGCCGCCACCCCCCCCCCAAAAAAAGCCTCTGAGGATTGAATGTGGTCTGAGCGCAGTGTCTGGTCTTTGTGGTGGTGCTGTTCTGAGGCTCCCATCCCTCACCCGAGCTACTTCCAGTCCTGCACGCTGTCTTCCAGTGTCCCAGACAGGACCAGCTCTTCTGCCTACGACACATGCCTCACCTGTGTTTTGCATGCTGCAGGGCATTGCCTTGCGTTGCCCACTGTCGAGCACAGAGCCTGGGTGACAGGAGCTGTCCGCGTGGCCCCAGCAAGTGGTGAGCTCTGCTGTGCGGGTCTGTGCAGGTGACTCCCCGGGTCCGTGGTGCTCAGGACCAGCCCTGCTGTTACACAAGGCTTTCAGCAGATTGTAGCGTTATTTTCATTTCCAAATGACCGATGATCTTTTCAAGTACCATGAACCATCTGTGTATCTTTTTAGAAGGGTTCAAATCTTGTTCCCATGTTTAAAAAAATAAATAAAAACTGGGGTTTTGCTGGGGACATAGTTCAGTGGCAGAAGTTATTTAGCCTGTGTGGCTCTGGGTTTGCTTTCCAGCACCGCGAAATAAAACAGACAAAAGCCCTGCGAACCCAGACTTGCTGTGGTGGCAGCCGAGTTGAGCAGAGTCCTTCATGTCCCGCCCAGTCGTGCCTCGGACTGCTGCCTCCGTGCACTTCCTGCCAGTGTTGCAGTGGGGATCCAGGTCTGCTGCCTTTCCACATGCTTTTTAGATCAGTTAATCAATTTCTACACAATGTCTGCTGGGATTAGAGCTGGGTTATGTCCTCTCTGTAGACCTGCTTGAGGAGAAGGACGCATTAACAATAGCAAGGCCTCCTATTTAGAGATACCAGCGATTGTACCCAGGGGTCGCTACTGTTAAGCTACACTCTCAGCCTTTTTTTTTTTTTTTTTAAGTTTTTATTTTGAGGCAGAGTCTCACTAAGTTGCCCAGACTAACCTGAATTTGGATCCTTCTCCTCAGCCTCCTGAGTTGCTGGAATTGCAGTGTGCGCCGTTGTGCCTGACTAGCTTGTACGTCTTTTGTTAATCGTAAATAATTCGTGACTTTGGGTGCTGCTGTAAATGACATATCTAATAAACTTCTAATTGGTTGCTGCTCTCAAAGCTCAACTGTGTGTGGTGAAAGTTAGACTCTTCTCCCTTGTCTCTGCCTGGCTCCCTTGTCAGTCCCAGCTGCTCTGCACATAGCCACAATTTGTGTCTTACTTCCTGGGCTTTATGCTTTTTTATTTCTTACTGCAGCATTTAGGAATTCTAGAACAGTGCTGGACAGAAGTGGGAAGAGCAGCATCCTGGCTGTGTCTGCTCCTCCTCAGCTCTGACCAGCTGGTGCTAAAGCAGGAGTCCCACCACCTGCTGCTCACAAGGATTGATCTCCAGCGTGGCTCACAGAATTCAAGGAAACATCTGCTTCTGCTTCATCTGCCTTACTACGAAGGATACATTAAAGGATACAGGCTGTGCAAACGGCCTGGTGGGGCATGCATGGGGCGGTCGGGGGTCCTAGCACAGGTGTGTCCCTGCTAGTGAGCTGAAGAATGTGCATCCTGTCGCCTTCAGAGCTCCTGGTGCCCTGGGGGTTTGTGGCCTGTACTCATGGCTGTCTTGTTTCTGTGGAGTGCTTGTGGCATAGGCCTGTCTGATTGATGGGTTACGTTACGCCACAGCCGCTGGTCATTGGCTGACCTTAGTTCCTTTCCACCCACCTACCTGTCCTGCCGTTCTCTAGGGCTTTGCAAAGCTCAGCTTGTCAATGTGAGTCCAGGTGAGCTTGAAGGACTTGTATGTAACCTGCCGGAGCACTTAGGAACCAAGGGCAGAGTTAGTCTCGTGCCCTATTGGGTGTGGCTCAGTGGTGGAACACTAGCCTAACATGAAAGCCCTGGGTTCAACCCCCAGCACGTAAAAAAAGAAATACTTTGTAACCCTGTGATTTATTCTTTGAATTCCATGTTATTTTGTAGTGTGTTGTTTAACAGCAACTATTTCAGGTTTTCTTTGCTCTCTTATTCTTGGGTTTCTAGTTTAATTTGTTAAGAGTCACGCTATGTGTGACTGATTGAGACTTGTTTCAAGGCCCAGTGTGGAGTATCTCTAGGTGCATGAGTAGTGTGCATGGAAGAAGCATGCTGGGTGCTCCACAGACCTCAGGTTGTGACAGCTAATGGAACTGTCTAGTGTCACTCCTGATTTGACAAATCTGTCACCTGGGCATGGTGCGCACACCTGTAATCAATCCCAGGAACTGGGGCGGCTGAGGCAGGAGAATAGCAACTTCAAAGCCAGCCTCAGTAGCTTAGTGAGACCCTGTCTGAAAATCTAAAAAGGGGGGCAGGCTGGGGATATAGCTCAGTTGGTAGAGTGCTTGCCTTGCATGCACAAGGCCCTGGGTTCAATCCCTAGTACCACAAAAAAAATTTTTTTAAAGTAGGGGCTGGGGTATAGTGTAGCTCAGTAGTAGCATTCAATCCCCAGTACTACAAAAACAAATGGATAAAAAATAAAAATAACTGTCAGTTTCTGAGAGGGGTGTTAAAATCCTAATGGTCTCGCATTTTATGCACTCTGACCACCCTGCTGTGTTAGGCTTTTTTTTCGGCGGGGGTGGGGGGGGGTGGGTGGGTACTGGGGATTGAAACCAGGGATACTCGACCACTGAGCCACATCCCTAGCCCTATTTTGTATTTTATGTAGAGACAGGGTCTCACTGAGTTGCTTAGTGCTTCACTTTTGCTAAAGCTGGCTTTGAACTTATGATACTCCCGCCTCAGCCTCCCAAGCCGCTGTGTTAGGCTTTTAGTCCACTGACACTGAATCTCATTTTTGGTATGTTTAGGTTGATGTTGCTTTTCTGTTTGTTTCCTAGGTGCATCTGTGTTATATGAATATTTTTAAGAATTTTATGTTTCTTGAGGCTGGGGTTATAGTTCAGTTGGTAGAAGCTTGTCTTGCAAGCACAAGGCCCTGGGTTTAATCCTCATCACCGCCCCCAAAAAAAAGATAAATAAATAAAATGAAAGAAGAAGAAGAAGAATTTTATGTTTCTTAGCTGGGCATAGTAGTGTACACCTGTAATCCCGGCTGCTTGGGAGGCTGAGGCAGGAAGATCTTGAGTTCAAAGCCAGCCTCAGCAAAAGCAAGGCCCTAAGCAACTCAGTGAGACCCTGTCTCTAAATAAAATACAAAATAGGGCTGGAGGTGTGGCTCAGTGGTTGAGTGCCCGACCCTCCATGCCCCATCCCTCAAAAAAGAATTTTATGTTTCTTTAAACTTTCTACCTCGGGGCCCTGACTATGGCTGGCCTGGAACTCCTGTCTCAGCCTCCCGAGGAGTGGGGTCACCAGCGTGCACCACCACGCTGGTCCTTCTGTGGGTTTTTACGTAGCTGGGGGACTATAGTGACAGCGTGACTCTTCTCCCCTTGCTGAGGCAGCAGTGTCGTGGCACCACAGGAAGGCGGTGGGATGCTCCTTCATGTCCACAGGGCTGGGAGCCTGGCTGTAGAGTGTCCAGGTGGCTTTGCTTTGGTCTTATGAAGTTCCTCAGTGCACCCTTGCTGTTCCTTCCTCTCATAGAGTGACCTAACATGGCAGACCAGAGGCAGCGCTCACTCTCTACCTCCGGAGAGTCACTCTACCATGTTCTTGGGCTGGACAAGAATGCGACCTCAGATGACATTAAAAAGTCCTATCGGTAAGAGGCTGCACGCAGGCCCTGCACCTCCCCTGGACAGGCCCCTTCACGTACTGTCACCGTGCTCTTCTAGGAGCTGGCACAGCCTTTCCCCTGGAGGACTCAGTAGTGGCTGGTGGTGCTGCTGCTGCCTCTCTGCAGGTGTAACGTGCTCCTCGCAGCTCAACGCGTCATACTGGTGTTCCCTTAGCTGAAAAAGCAGCACTTTGTGGATGCTACAGCTGCACACAGTTCTGGAGCGGGTGGGGTGCAGCGAGGGTGGCACCCCTGTTTTCTGCCTTGGCCTTCTGGCTGTTCCAGGCACTTGGCTTGGCTGCCGTGTCAGGCGGCAACCTAGACCAGAGAGGCCTCATCACTGACCCCTGCCTTGGTGGCTGCATCTATGCTCCCAGCACTCTGCTGTTGGTTAGACACCACTCCCTTCCTGTCAGATTGGCATGTGCAGTGGCCCAGCAAGGACACCAGGGGGCAGGAGGGTACCATTGGTGATTCTGAAAGTGGGGAGAGGAGTGGGGCTGGTCCTGCTGCCCTGGCTACCTCTAGACCCCTCCCTGTGGGGAGCCAGTGGGGGGGGCTTCCCCCTGGCATGCCAGACCTCTGGGAAGTTGGGAAGGCAGGTGGTGATGGGTGGGCCTTCCTTCCCCTGGGCCCTCCAGTGGCTCAATGCACAGTGCCAGTCCAGGAGAGAGCCAGCAAACGGTTCTGTTGCAGGAAGCTTGCCCTGAAGTACCACCCTGATAAGAACCCTGACAACCCGGAGGCTGCAGATAAGTTCAAGGAGATCAACAACGCACATGCCATCCTGACGGATGCCACGAAAAGGAACATCTATGACAAGTACGGCTCACTGGGGCTCTACGTGGCGGAGCAGTTCGGGGAGGAGAACGTCAACACCTACTTCGTGCTCTCCAGCTGGTGGGCCAAGGTGAGGGGCAGGGCGGGGCCAGCACTGGCTGCATGCACGGTCCCTAAGTTCCTGAGAGGACCAGGTAGGAAGTGAGCCTTCCCTTCACAGTCGTCAGGGAGGGCATCTTGAAATCTAGTTTGAAGGACCCCTGACTTAGATCTCTGGTTGTGTTTTTATTAACTTTCTTGCTTTCCTGACTTGCCACATCACACAAGGCCAAGGGATATGGCCCTTGGCTGTGGGAAGCCCTCCCTGGCTTTCCCAGCCCTCCCGTAATCACCCCCTCTAGGCAGCTGTCTGCTCTTCCCTCCTGCCTTCCCGTTCCCAGCAGGTTCTTCCTTCATCCCCATCTGAGAGACCCTTCCTTAGCTGGAGGCCCACCTCTGCAGCCCGTGCTTGGGAGCCCTTGCAGAGGCTGGGGCCTACAGAGGCCATGGGTGCCTGCCTTTCCTCCCCAGGCCCTCTTCGTTTTCTGCGGGCTCCTCACCTGCTGCTACTGCTGCTGCTGTCTGTGCTGCTGCTTCAACTGCTGCTGTGGCAAGTGCAAGCCCAAGGCCCCCGAGGGGGAGGAGACGGCCTTCTACGTGTCCCCAGAGGACCTGGAGGCACAGCTGCAGTCTGATGAGAGGGGTGAGTGCCTGCCCCCGGGTGCGTGTTCCTGGGGCGCCGTCACGTGGCCCTGAACGTGTCAACTGTCTTGTCAAACAGGAGGGCACTGACACTGTGCCGCGAGTGTTTGTGGTGGCAGCTGGGACTGTTGAGGTGTGAACGTGGACACTGAGGTAAAGCAGGGGCAGAGAGCTGTCCCCGCCCGTGCACTGCGGTAGCCGTAGATCCAAGGGGCAGGAGGTGGGCGGCAGGCAGGCGGGAGGATGAAGGGTGGTGGTCAGCCAGCAGCCTCTCCTGAGTGCCGTCCAGGTGGCCGAGTGTTGTGACGCCAGGACCCTGTGCTGGGCACACGCTGGCTACTACCCTTGTGCAGTGAGCATGTCTGCTTGCTTTTCAGAGGCCACAGACACGCCAATCGTCATACAGCCCGCCTCCGCCACAGAGACCACCCAGCTCACGGCCGACTCCCACCCTAGCTACCACACTGACGGGTTCAACTAGGTTCAGGAGGAGCTGAGATTCGAGGAGGGATCAGCACCCGGCCACCGCAACCTTAGATCCATGAACTAGTCACCAGATGGGGAGGCGCCGCGTCGGGGCCTCCCCTCCTCCACGCCCGCTGCCCGTCGACCCTCGATACCCGAAGTGCGTAGCATGCAGTATTTAAAGCAGTGTAGCTACGGTCTTCTGCTCTCCTTTTCTAGTAGCATGTATGGTCGTGTTCAGTGTCTGTGTTGTGGACCTGCTGTGGCTCGGCCGCGCTCGCTGGACAGTGGAGCTGCCTCGGGGTGTTTAGCCAGGTCGGTCCAGTGAGGGTGGACTGGGCAGGAAGGGCCTCAGTGCTCCTGTGCTCACGGGGCTGGGGTCAGATTCTTCCAGGCAAAGCCACATCTCCACCTTGGCCGTGGGGTCCCAGGGCAGGGCCTGGCTCATCTGGCCCATCAAGGACAAGCTGGGCCAGGTCCTCTGGAACCACAGGGCCATGGTTGTCCCTGGGTGTTACGTTGGCATGGCGTGCAAGGGCCTCTGCACCCTGTCGTCTCCTTGTGGCAGGTCTCTCCAGGTGGTAGGTGTGATGTGGACAGTGTGTGCACACGTGTGCACTCTGCACGGTTGTCTGCCCCGGGCCTCTTTGCTTCAGGGCCTGAGGTTCCTGTCCATCGAGGGGTGCCCCTCCCGGTGCGTGGAGGTCCTCCGTCTTTGTTCCTGAACCTTCCCAGGCTGAGCTGGACTGATGGGGCCGTAGTCTCTCTCCCCTTCCCTGGGTGGTTCTCCACACTCCTTAAGCCCACCTGTTTGTTTTTTTGTTTGTTTGTTTGTTTGATTTGTTTTGTTTTTAAGCCCTTTTTGGACTTTTAAGAATCCCAAGTGGTTGCAGTCAGAGGGTGTGAATCCAAGTGGGTGGATGAAGGACTCCAGTGAGCCCCCAGCCTCTGGACCCTCCTCCTGGTGCTGGCCAGAGCTCCATCCACCCACTTGCCTTCACTTGCGCCTGTCGTCCGTGCTCTAGTCGGCACTAGAACATAGGGTTCCTGGAGCAAGATGGCTGGAGCCAAGATGCCCCTGGCCTCAGGAGGGCTGGGTCCCAGCGAGACTGTGGGACACCCTGCTTGCCAGCCAGCCTGGGAGGCCAGTGCTGGACGAGACTCTGTGAACCGCAGATCTGTGGGTGGCGCCTTGGTGGGTGAGCTGGGGAAATGTGAGCACCACATGTCAAGGCTTTGGGGCCACCTTGTGCCCCCTACAATTTCCTGAACGTGCCGGACCAGAGTCCAGTGGGCCGAGTTCCTGCAGAACTTTCCCGAAGCCTGCTGCCGAGCATCTTCTGAATTTCTAGTAGAGATGAAGAATGAGAAAACTCCTATGCTGACCACGTGGCCCTGACAAACCACCTTGAGTCCCTTCACCCCCATCCCCACTCCCTCCCACCGTGGGCTCCTATTTGCCAGTGACTGCCAAGGGCAGGGCTTTGGGATTTGGGTGTTGGTTGAGGGTACCCAGCAAGGTCCAGTGAGGCTGCTGTGATGCCAGGGCCCCCAGCTGATCCTATTGCAGGTGGACGTGGGCAAGGAACTGCCCAGGAACCAGTCCCTGGGGCGTGTTTGTCCGTGTTGCTCATTGAACGATCATGAAGATACTGAGCAAGAGGGCTCCATGCTAGGGTGCTGTGTCAGGGCCGTCCCCCTGTGGAGGGTGGGAACCACCAGTGGGCCCACAGACTGCTCAGCAGGCAGCCCAAGGGCTAGTCCCAGCACAACAGCAAGAGCTCAGCCCCTGAAGCTTTCTTGCGATAATTCGAGAGTGAGTTGCTTTCTCAGAACAGCCAGGACCCAGGGCCATAGTCTGGTGACCTGCTGAGCATCTTCTGAATTTCTAGTAGAGATGAAGAATGAGAAAACTCCTATGCTGTGGGACAGCCCTCCTGGCATGCAGCCCTGTGGTTTTTGTCTCGTGTCCCTGTGAGCTGTGGCCACTTCTTAGGAGAAAGGATCTCCCTGGGTGGCAGCTGGGGTGGGAATAGCCACTTAGCCCAGTGTCCTGTGGGGGTCTCTGAAACTGAGTGAATCATGTAGGATTTGTAACACCACAAACAGGACACAGGCTCTGGAGTGAGGGCCGTGGCTCTGCAGCCATGGCCAGAGCATGTCCCTCACCTGCTCGAGGCAGACAGTGCCTCATCGTGCACTGCGATGGTCTGTGGCTGCCCTGGTTCTGTTTCCTTTTTAATGAGCACAGCTGGTGAGTCTTGGGGGTCAGCCTGACCCCCATGTCCCCAGCTCCTGGGCTACACTTCTGGGCTGTCGACAGTGTGTGATGTATTGCCTGGGGAGTGCTCAGGTCAGTGTGCTTGGAAACCCATCCAGAGCAGTGGTGCCCCGCAGGGTCCTGGCCACCTATGGTAGCTCTGGGGTGTGTAGATCCCTGTTCCTGCCCAGGGCTGTGGTCTTTCCTTGTCTTCCTTTGGCTTCATTCTATTTTAAGCTGCTTTAGATATTGTTGCCCCATGTCAATGAGCCTTCCTAGTTCTCTGGTGTTCAGTTAATGCAGCCAGTGTCCAGTGGGAACCCGTCAGGAAGAGAAGCCAGAGTTCCCGCGGTCTCTTTGCTACTTGCTGGACTGGGCTGCAGCTCCAGTCTGGAAAGGTCCTGAATCATGAAGCAGTCAAGACTCGTCTCAGCTGTCCTAACCCAGGTTTTAGCAGCACAGGGGAGCTGATGGTCCTGCAGGCTTCCCTCAAGGGTCCAGGTGATGTGGGCAGAGGCAAGGTGGGTCCTGCCCATCCTTGACTTCAATCTGTCTGTGTGGTGCCTCGCTGGTGAGAATCATGGCAGGCGCTGGTGCCACCCCTTTCCCAGTGCTGAGCTGGTGCCCTGTAGCCCAGGACTGGCCTGTTTGTTATTTGGGTTCTGAATGCCCTGCTGTGGACAGGTGCAGCTTGTGTTGCCAGGTGCTGTGGTGCAGGCTGTGTGTCTGTGTACATGTGTGTATGTATGGACCACGCAGCAGGCCCCGCGTGCTGCTGTCCAGGGGTGAAGCAACAAGTACAAGAAAGTTGGCTCCAAAGTGGCCTCTGTTTTCTTGGTGAGTTGGGTAGGGACAGGGTCTCGGCACGGTCCTCCTGGCGGATACACCCAAGGGAACAGCCTCCTATGTGCAGGATGCGTGTGCCTGAACACAAGGTCAAGACCCCACCAGCGTCAAGCGTCACAAGGGTGACTGTCCTAAGCACATGTCATGTTCACCTGGCCCACAGGTGTGGGAAGTGTAGGAGGTGGCTGGAAACTCTCCCCTCCCTGGGCGCCTGAGTCAGTCAGTGACAAGGTTGCATCTAAAGAGCAGCCTGGGCACCTGCCTGCAGGAGGGCTGGGCCAAGGGCCCCCCAGGTGGTGCCTGTGGCGGACTGGTTCTCCTGCAAGGCGGGGCGGCCTGGGAAGCTGGGTGAGGGAGGGGGAATACACACTGACACGCACACCACAGGTGCTGCTTCTGAGAATCAGATGCGAGTGTGGAGAGCAGCAGTCCACGAGCTGGTTCCACCCAGCTGCCAGGATGGCCTGCTGACCTGGCTCCACGCACATCTCCAGGGCTGGAGAGCGAGTGGTCTCCATGGTGATCTCTGTCTTGTGTGTGTCTGAATGTTGACCTAAAGTAAAGATAACTTGTAAAATAAATGTTTTCACTGCAGAAAGTGTGTTTTTTGTTTAATGATCCCTGCAGAGTCTCGTTTTTTGTTTTTGTGTTTTGGGAGGCAGGTTTGTTTTATTTGTGACAAACACTTCCCACCTGCCTGGTCCAAGTGCACACCCACCTTCCCAGGGTCCTTTTCGCTTCATTTTTAAATACCCAGACGAATCACAGGAGGGACCTCTGAGCTCCCGAGGGCCACCACTCCAGGATAGCTTGGACCTCAGTCTTGGAGGCCTCCTGTGGCATGTCGACCTCCAGTGGTTGTACCAGAGTAGGTGACCCCTTGCCAGGGAAGTCCTGTGGTCTTCATGGCCACACCAGGCCTACAGCCAACATTAGTCCTGTTCGCACCATCCACCTGTCTGACCGTCAAGCTCCTACCTGCCTTTCCTGTTGTCTTCCACAGATGGAGATTCCTGCTGCCTGGTAGAGACCATTTTGGCTGGCCTCAGTTCTAGGATGAGCAGGTTCAGGGGTCTGGAGCAGCATATGTGGGTGCCCTCATGAACCAGCTCCTGACTTGGCATGGCCCTGCCTGATTCCAATCCTAAGCATAAGGAATTGGGGGAGAACAGAGGACAACTGGGTAGCTCAGCTCTACAGTAGCGCCAGCCCTCCTATTCCCTGGAGCAGTGACCACAAAAGCTGAGCTGGTCACTCCATCTCTGCCCACCTCTGTCCTGGCCATTTGGATTTCCCAGGGCTGAGCTGTGGCGACTCCTGTTCCTGCTATGTAGTGTCTGAGCTGGTGGTGCCCCGGCCTTGCACCCCAGTATCTTTGGTGGTAGTCCCCATCCTCCCTGTGGTCTCTCACCCAGCCCTCAAATGCCATGGTCCCTGGGGTGCTGTGAGAAACACTTCATCCCACTGCCCTGATGGCAGGGAAGTGGCAGGAAGCCCTCTTGAACACAGAGTGGCCTGTAGCCTGGTGTGGCTAGCCTGAGCTCTTATGCCTCTGTCCCCCACCCCCAGAATGAGTCCAGTTTGGGGAACCTGTTGGAAGTGCCAAGTCTGCCCAAGAGCATATGTCCCTAGAGAATGGTTCTGTATACAAGGGCCTGGAGCAGAGCACCTGCTGGGACCAATCTTAGGCTCAGGCCCAAGGACCCTAGTGCTTAGGCTAGAGAAGTGGCCCTGGCCCAGGTGGCCCACAGGTCTGCCTTTCAGAACTGCAGGTAGAATTGCCCTGTGGCTCACATCCCTTCTGCAGGGTACAGCCTTGGCCAAACTCCCCTCCTGCCGTCTCCAGCGGGCGCCCAGCTACAGGGCAAGGCAGAAAACTCTTGGAACTGAAAAACAGTTTATTTGAAGCCAACACTTTTGGAGGGAAAAAGGTGCAAGAATACTAACAGTAACGAAACACCCTGAACCCTCCACTCATACCTAGAATTAAGTAATTTGATTAGGATTTTCCATAAGGAGGGAAAAAAAAATGGAGCTGGGCGAGGCCTTGGGTACACCCGCAGCACAGCGACAGCAGCAAAAGCGACAGCGCAGAAGGCCTCCGAAGACATCGCCGAGCCCTTCGCGTGCCCGCCTAGGCCGCCCCGACCTCTGAGGAGCTGGCGCCGAGTCCGGCCGCGGGCAGGAGGCGTGGCGGGCAGGAGGCGTGGCGGGCAGGGGGCGTGGCGGGCAGGGGGCGTGGCGGGCAGGGGGCGTGGCGGGCGGGGCTCCACCACCGCAGCCCGTGCGCGGATGGGCCGCGCGCCCCGGACCCAGTTGCGCGGGGATGGAGCGGACAGAATCCCGGGCAGGACCTGGGAGGACGCGGACGGCCCGGCTGGCCAGAGGGGCGCGCGGGGAGATTCGCCAGAACCGTCCCGCGGTCACCCCAGGTGCAATCGGGGCCGGCGGCGCGCTCGGGCGGTGGCCCCCCGGTTACAGCTGCGTGCTGCGGAGGCGCTCTCGGGCGGTGGCTCGGGGCACCACCAAGTTCCAAGCCGGCGGGCGCAGGTTCCTACGAACGCGAGTCGGAGTTCCGCGCTCAGAGGCGGGGTCCCCTGCTGTGGGAATACGTGAAGGTCCGAGTCTGTGCCAGCCTCGCCCTCGAGCCCGGACGGGCCTTGGCCCCAGATGGAAGCCGGTTGGTGACCAGAGGTGAAGAGGCGCCAAGGTACCCGATCCGGGAGCTTGGTCCACCAGTCGCCCCCGCGGATGTCACCGTTGTAGTCACCATTGCTTCGCCAACCCGCCCCTCCCTGGACCCCGCTCTATATCAGTACCCACATGCGAGCTGCCCGTTCCTGTCCTAACTCTGGCACAGCTAACCCAAAGCCATCTGCTCCGTAGGTCTCCGTCCTGCCGCCGCCTCCCCACACCAGCTTCCCTCGCTCCAAAACCTCCAGCCTGACCTTAGGAAGCTTCAGAATACCATGGCCTCCAGGGCCCTCTCCGCTGCTTCCTGCCGCGGCCCCCCAACCCTCAGGTGCTCCACCCAAGATGCCCTTTCCCCAGGCTTCTTTGCCAGTCCTTCCTGACTCCAGGTGGCCCAACGCTGGTTCCCCGTGTAGGGCACCATCCTCCCGTAGCGCAGCCAAGCCCAGCCCTCCGTCTGCTGCTCACGCCTGCCTTCTTTTGGGACTGGGCCTCAAGTGCCCCAGGCTTCCCATCCCACCCAGCCAGCCTACCTAAAAGGCCCTGCTTAGCATCTGCATGACCATTTTAAATTTCGTTTTCCGCCTAAGGGCGTTTCTGAGAAAGCCTCACCACTCCCTCATACCGACCCGACCATTTTCACGCCCCCGCCACCGCATTAAGACCCTACTGGCTCTGATTCCTGAGCCTCCCCATGAAAGTCCCAGAGCTCAAGCCTGTTGTGCCTCTCTCCTATAGAGAGATGGCCTTTATTTGTCAGCTGTGACAAAGTCTCCTGTGTATCTCTTCCTGGTCTGCATCTTTCATTTCTCGTTTACCTGTCTCTCGTACCCATCATCACCCTGTGATAGTCAGCCGCTGCTGGGAAGGGGCAGCACCTCACGGGCTGACGAACCTGAGATTGACCCTGGACACTCACCATTCTCAGGTTGGACAGTCCTGGAGGCATTGCCCAGGGCAGCAGGCAGAACCAGGACAAGCGAGCTTCGCCTCTGAGACCCTCAGCCTGAGTACTCCACAGGAACCTCTGGTGTGCATACAGGGTCCTCCTCCACCCCACTAGGTTCTGAAGCTGCTTTAGGCCTAGCAGACTATTGCTGGTTTGTTTGTTTAATTTTTAAAAAATGTTTTTGGTACTGCGGATTAAACCCAAAGGTGTTTTACCACCGAGCTCCACCCCCAGCCCATTTTACTTTTTATTTTGAGATAGGGTCATTCTAAGTTGCTCAAGCTGGACCTGAACTTGCCATCCTCCTGCCTCAGCCTCCAGAGTTGCTGGGTTACAGCTGTGTGCTGCCGTGCCTCACCATGCCTGGCAGGACTCTTGCTCTTGATTTCCCCTTCCTCCAGGGTGCATGCCACTCACCCCTCACAGTCTGCACTGGGCCTGAGGGTAGGATCAGGCCCATGTGGCTCCCAGCCCCAAATCAGACCCCTGGGGGCTGCCTGCAGAGTTCAGCTGGAGTCCCTGTGCCCACAGCAGCTCTGTGGTGCTTGTCCCCCTGAAGGAATTGGAACTCGAAGCTGGATCTTGGCCCTCTTTAGAGGGCCCTTAAGGCTCCCCGGGGTCAGAAAAGGTGCCTCTCCCTCACTGGCATTCCGAAGACCTTGGGCTATTTGGAGGGTGGTCCACTTCCAACACCCCCTGGGGCCCTGGTTGGAATAGGTTCAAGATCTCCCCAATCTGTGGCCCAGCCTCAGGAGACACCAACTCCCACCAAAAGGAGAGACCAGAGCCTGGGTCTTCCAGCAGCACCAGTCTTCTTGTGGGTGGGAAGAGCTAGGCAGGGCCTTGGGGTTCAGGCTCCTGCCTCCAGGATATTTTCCTAGGCCCCCCACTAAAGGGGGACACAACTGCCTTTGCTTTGAGGATGGCCTTACTAGACTGTGGGCAGCTGGGCCTGCTCTTTCAGCCTGAAGTTTCATCTCCCACACTGCAAGTTGTCCATCTGTGGTGCGTGCTGCCATCTAAGTACCTCTAGTGTTGGCATCTGCAGGCACAGCTATGGCTGTGATCTGAGAACCACGTGGCCTGACTGGACTTGGGGGGGTGCCCTCGGGAGAGACCTGGCCCCTGCCCATCTCCTCATCTGGGAAGACCTGGCTAGGAGGAATGGCGCCTCCAGCCTCTGGGCTCCTGGGGCACGTGGTGTGCAGCAGGCTCCCAGCCCAGAGTCTCAGAATGAAGGAGCCCGGGAATGGGGCCCTGGACACATGGGACAAAGCACTCACCAGGGTGTAGACAAGGCCCTCTCGCTGACCTCTGGGCCTTGATTTGGTCCTCTGTCCCCAATGCCTGGCTACCCCTTGGACAAGCCACCAGCCTTTATCTGCCCGCTACCGTGGGCCTGGCCTCCGCCCAGCAACTTCCTGTCCCCGCCCCAAGACAAGCTTTTCCATGACATGGCCTTTGGGGGTGGGGGGGCAACAGACCAGAGAGACAGGAAAGAGGCAGGAGCCAGATCTTCAGGGACTGAGGAGCTTAGGGGTGTGTGTCTCAGGGTCCCAGCCCACCTGCTGCTCAGATCACAGCCACACATGCACTGGGTGTCCATGTGCCTATGACTATGTCCCCTGGCCCAGGCAGGATAGGCATAGAGAGGATGCTGGAAGTGACCAGTGAGGCTGACCCTCACTCTCTAGTCTAGGAGCAGCAAAGACAGGGTGGACATGTATCTGGTCCTGAACAGCATGGCTGGCCCACTGAGCCTCGGCCATCTGCTTGCAGCCGGGGCTTCTTCCAGTGAAGTCCTTCCCACAGACGCCCACACACTGACTTCCGCTGGGCCCCTTGATGGTACAAACATGGTTGGGGGGGGAAGTGGTCACAGAGGCTGCGTCCTGTGACACACAGAGCCCTAGGTGGCCCTGTCCTCTCCCTGGGTCCAGGCCAGGTAGCCACTAAGCTGTGGCTCTAGGGGCCCTATCTAGCACAGCCAGAAGCTGCAGTCCCAGTGCTGCCCTCCTCTCCCTCAGGAAATGATCCCCAACTACAAGGGAGGCTGGGTGCAAGGCTGGGAGCAGGCCTAGTCCTGCTCTGGAGAAGCCAGGGGCCCTTGACTTATCGGTGGTGACTTTATAACTTGGGTGCTGGGGTGGGCAACACCTACAGCCCTGAGAGAGACTGCCCAAGCCCAGGTCCCAGGCAGGATACCACCCCTGTACCCCAGCTAACCAGTCACACCTTCATTTTCTAAAGCTTTATTTTACAAAATGTGTAGATGTTTTTTATTGGTATCATTTTTTGAAATTAAATTAACCTCCTCCTACCCACACCAGGAGGCAGGAGGAGGTTGGGTGGGGACAGGGTGGGTCAGCCTGGGCAGCTAACCAGTGGAAGCCACCTCTTCCTCGTCGCTGCCATCAGGGACCGCATCTGTCCCAAAGTAGCGATCCCCAAAGTTCCCTGGAGAAAGAAGCAGCCCAGTATGGAGCCTCCTGGGGAGACCAGCCTTGCTCACACACACCACTGAATAGGCTGGCGGCTCACCTATGCCTGGGATGATGCGGAAAAGGTCATTGACCCGCTTGTCCACAGCTGTGGTGATGATTCTCACTCGTGGGAAAGCATAGGCCACGGAGTGGACACCCATCTCCGCCATCAGCAGTGACAGCAAGAAGATCTTGTCCTCGGGCACATCGTGGTCCTGCCAAGCCAAGGGCCAGGTAAATACCAACTGCACAGGGGCCTGCCTGCAGCCCATTCAGGACCCACGTACCAGGAGGACACGGACGGCCATCATGGCCGCAGCGCCAGTAGACACCGTACAGTCCATCAGGATCACGTGGTCGTCACTGATGTCCTTGGGCAGCCGAAGATAGTGGAGCTGTGGGAGGCCATGACGTCAGCAGTGCCTGCCCACCAGGCTCTGGGGTGCCACGTGGCCTTTCCCTGGGCTGGCCATCCTGTAACTCCCATGCCTCCCCAGTCCCGCACCTCGGGCTCCCCCGTGAGCTGGTTGGTCTGGATGAGGATGGTGCCAATGCGCACGTCTTTGCACACAGCACGCAGAGCAGGCTCCATGGTCTCCCCAGCACGCAGGATGGATACTCCAGTGATCTAGGGGAGGGAGGGCTGAGCCAATGGGACACCCAGCCCAGCCAAGGTATCGCCCTCCCAGGGTGCACATACCTGCTTTCCCGCATAGCACTTGCCTGCGTAGTCCTGCCCCTGTGGGGTCTGCACCACACAGTCCTGTACAGAGGGGGTATGTCTGGACGTGGCCCTCACAGAGGCCCCACCCCCTCTCCCCCAACTCGATCCCTGCCTACCTGGAAGGGCAGGAAGGAAAGCGCATGCTCGATGAGCAGCCGCATCAGTCTCTTGGAGTAGAAGATGAACTCGTCCCGACTAGTCTCCCTGTCCCTGTCGGGTGGGGTGGGTGTGCTTAGGGGGGGCTTGGGGGGGCTTAGGGGGGTCCCACCCCACCTCTCTCCCACCCTGCCCCTCCAGCCGGCCCTCACCTGATGATGGTGTGCATACCGCGCACTTGCGGGGTGCTCTTGAGGACGCTCAGCGTTTGGGGAAGTGGGTGGCACTGGTGCGCTGAGGCCAGGGCCGCCCTGGGGACACAAACAGATTGGGGGCACTCAAGAATGAAGGCATCTCATTCTAGAGCACCGTCTCCCCACAGGACGGCTGTGCGTCACCATGGGGGTTAAGCAGTGGGGACAGCGGGGTGTGCAGGGTGAGAGCAGGCTGCCTGGCTATGGCTGTCGGGGGGAGACCTCCCACCCCAACTCCACAGGAGGTGCAGCTCCTGGAGGGGAGCAGAGACGCAGTGTCTGGTCTACGGAGGAAGAGCAGGGCCCGATGTGAGGCGCCCTCCTAGGCTTGGAGGGAACAGAAGGGCCGGCAGGATGGGGCTCACCTGCAGGTAGGGCTCAGCCCCCAGAACGGGCAGCTCCTGACCTGTGCCTGCAGTAATGACCGGGCTGAGGGGTCAAACCCTGCCCAGGCCCATCCCCAAGTGTTGCCCAGTGCTGCCGCCTGCCCCACCTGAGGCCGTGCCTGGGGGTGGGCATGAGAGAGGCAGAAGGGGGAGGGAAGGACGGGGGTACACGAGGGGCACTGGGAGAGGTGGGGCCGGTAGAACAGGAGAAGGGGTGCTGGTGGCAGGAAGTGGGAGGGAGGAGTGGGCGGGGCAGGGGAAGGTGACACTGGGGTGTGGGGGACCAAGGCAGGATAGAAGGGAGGAGTCTGGGGAGGAGGAAGGGATGGTGGGGCTCAGGGCGCGGGCCTGGAGGAGGCAGCTGGGGCGGGTGTGGTGAGGGTCCTGCGGGCAGGCGAGCGGACAGCGGGGCAGCACACAGCGAGCACAACCCGAGCTCTCTGCTCACATATCCCAGCGCAGCTCCCTCTGCTCGCCAGTGAAGAGTGTTCAGGGAGGGACAAGGCAGGAAACGGTTACACAGAGGAAAGAAGAGAGAAGACCTCTTAGTTGGGAGGGCAGTGGCATCTCTGCAGACGGTACAGCACGGCCACCAGCTGGCCAGGGGGAAGAGGAGGCGCAGCAGGGCTGCGGCACCCACCCTCTGGGTGGGAGGGCCCTGTGGCTGGCCTGCAGGCCTTCCCCTGCCCACCAGCCGCTTCCTGGACAGGAGGAGACACTAGGGCCACTGGCCACCACTTCCTTGGCAGACCAGAGAGCGGAAAATGGAGCTGGCCACACCTGGAAACTTTTTTTCTCAGAATAAAGGCTCCTAGAGGGACCTGAGGGAAGGCCTGCAGCACCTGTCTGGGAGACCAAGCGGAGACTCATGCAGGGAAAGGAAGCGGCACAGGGTGGGCCCAGAGGCATTTCCAACGCTCTGACTGAGGCTCCCGAGGTGGCTCGGCCAGAGCTCCCCACCTCCAAAGAAAGCCTGGGAGGAGGGCAGGTCCCTCGTGGTGACACATCAGGGGCAGGTGCTGGCGTCTGCCTGCCCACTGGGTAGACAGGGTGGGGGACACAGCCTTAGCCCACCACAGGTGTGCTGCAGGGCAGCTATAGGGCAGAGCAGGGCCCAGGCAGGGAGGCAGGGAGGGCAGGGCCGAGCCCTCACACCACCCCAGCGAGAATCCCCTACGCCATGAGATTGGGCAGAGGAGGTACAGTAGCCCTGGAGGCAGACCCAGACCCCAGGCTGCTGGGAACACATCCATGGCCACATTCCTGGAGACCTGGCAGGGCTAGGTCAGGAGAACAGCTGTGCTCTCTGGGGCTGAACCCCACAGACAACCCCACTTGCAGAGAATTCTCCACGATTTCTGTTCAGCCTAGGTGCTATGTGATCTTGGGCAAGTTACTTAACCTCTCTGTGTCTCAGTGTCCTTATCTGTCAGCAATGGGAAGCAGAAGCAGGGCTGGGGCTAATCCACTCCTCTGCATGGGGAGGGGCTGCCCACTGGCCTGGCTTGGTAACAGCCCAGACCTGGAGCGCCCTGTGGATGTTGGAAATGCCTGCATGTGTGCAGACAGCTATGGGGTCTTACCTGACGCTGAGTTCACGCTGTGGCAGCAACACAAGGAGACACAAGGGAACGGTGACGCGTCAGTGACCAGGGCAGGTGCCAGACCACCCCACCCAGGACAGGACATGCTGCAGCCCCATGGGGAGACTGCTCAGAAGCTGCCAGGTTTGGGAGGTGAGCTGCTAATGCTTCTAACCTGGGGAACACTTGGGTGAGACCTGTGGTTCTGGGCTGGGCAGTTTAAGCCAGGGGCCCTGGGCTCCGTCCTGCAGGCCACAGGCCTCTGACAGCCTGTGAGAGACCCAGCCATAGAATGCTCCAACAAGGGATTTCTGGTGAGGACATCACTCCCAGGGTTAGCTACCATGAAGAAGAGCTCCTGGCCAGACATTGGACTCCTCAGTGCTGAAACCCTGTGGCCTTAGGCCAGCAAGACAGTGGGTCTCCTTCGCCATCCTGCAGGGTTGGGAGGGACAGGAGCCCTTCTATGCCAGGCCAACGTCCGGCTGGGAGCATGTGGCAGCTGGGCCCTGAGTTCCTGTGCCCATTCCCAGAACAAAGGGCTGGGGCTGGGGCTGGGGCTGTGTGAACAGGCAGATGAAGCAAGCTGGGGACACTCAAGTGGACATGGAGGGTGGGGCAAGCAGAAGCAGGGACACTACCTGAGACTTACCTCCTCCAGCTGGCTGTGCACATGCTGCACGATCAGGTCAATGGCCACCGCGTTCCCACTCCCTGCGGCAAAGGAGGGCGGCTCAGGCAGGCTCACGTGCCAGCGTCCTGGCAGGCCCACCTCTGGGCACCACAGTGCAC